ACCCCCAAAACAAAATCAAGACTTTGTAAAAGAGCGTAATAGGACCCCTTTAAAATTGAATAGTTTTTTTTCTTTGTATTCACAACATAAACACTGTATTTGTGTTAAAATGTTATGTTTGCAATAGCATAACAGGATGCCTGCCTCTTTGATGAATGATGGGAACATGCAGATTTTTTTATAATGCCAAATACATATGTATTTATAATAAAAATGTAACTTTTAACTGTGCACAAATAGTTTTCAACCCCCAAATATGCATATGCAAAAATGTTAAGATTTGTTTTTTCTGAAAAGTAAAGGGACACCACTGCAAAAACAGAATGTTCATATTTATTTATTTATTTATTTATTGCTTCAACTGACATAGTTAATATTTATTATTTTATTTTAATTTAATACATTTAACACCTAAAATTGTTCTTATATGCAAATTCCTTATTTCTTTGTGCTTTTTATGTAAACTTAGTTTTACTGTGTTTTGCAAAACTTATAGTCTGATTAGTTAAATATTAAATGATTGTAAAAAAAAAAAAAGAACTTTAAAACTTTAGCAAGTAATCATAAGATAGCAATAAAAAACATAAAAACAAAATGCATTATGTTTTATTATTAACTTATTGTTCTGAATGGTATATAGATTTATATTTATGCAAAGATATTTGCAACTGATATTGTTTTCTGATATTATTTAAAGTTTTTGTTTATATTTTAATATTATTTAAATATTTAATTATTTTCAAAAATTCACGGCATATACTGTACCATATTAGTATGTATGCAAAGTTGTTTTGCGATCTAGATGGTTGCAATTATATTTTCTGTTTTTGTACGGTGGAATATCTTTCCAAAATAATCAAGTAGAATTGAAGCACAAAAGCACCAGACAGGCTCTGGTTACTAGAAATACTCAATTTCACAGAGTATTTCTCTCACAGACAGACAGACAGCCAGCGGTGTGTGTTTGTGGGTGTTTCTGTCATGCTGCTCATACACCCCCTGCTCTTTTTATAAAGGCGATTTGATTTTATAGGCCTTGGCCCGACTCCTAGACCACAATTATAGCCGAGGCCCGGCTGACAGTGTCCTGGGACAGGTCTGCCTTTTATTTAGCCTCTGTGTCTCCTGCGGGTCTGTGTTTAATTCTGGCCAGAAAGAGGGAAGTACAAATTGAGGGGAAGGAACATTGTAAATGCGAGCGAGCGAGAGAGAGCAGTTTATCTGTCGTATCTGCAGGCTGTGGGCAGGTCGAGGCTCGTCTCTGTGTAAATTCTTCCTGGGTCGAGAATAGTATACACAGACACATGAGCATGAAAGACAGGGCGTTTAACACTGGCACATGCTCATTAGACCAATAGATAGACCAATAGTTATCTGGTCAAAGTTATAACGTTTTTAAGCTATTATTTATACGCTTGTCTAACGTTTTTAAATGTTACTACTTGTTTAAAGGAACATTCAATAGTAACTTTCTCATGATGTTTGCAAAGTGATAAAACGGAATGCTAGCTTTAATGTTTGCATAACTAAGCAACAACGTTTTTTAAAATGTTAAAAAATCTGGATGTTTTGAAAGTTCAGAGAACATTCAGAAATAACGTTTTCAGAACTTAATGGGAGCAAAACCTTCTTAGGCCCAGATCACACAGAACGCATTTTTCAAGTTTAAAAACGTGAGGCGTCAGGGGCGCATAAACAATAGAAAACAATTTAAAAAAGGCGCCTCTCACTGCAAAAAAACAAAAAACAAAAACGTGTTCCGTGTTTGTTGGATCTTTTAAAAGGTTCTCAAAATGTTAGCACAAAAACTTTTATACATCGTTCAAGTAATGTTATTTATTTATTTGTAACACTTCAGTTATACGTTTGTCTTAAAGTTTTTAAATGTTACTTGTAGAACATCCAAAAGTAACGTTCCCATAATGTTTGCAAAATGTTAAAATGGAATGTTCTCTAAATGTTCGCATAACCAAGAAAAAAAACATTTTAAAATTGTTTTATTATTATTATTATTATTAGCTAGGTTATTTCCTCGTACTCTGCATATCTCTGTACATTTGACCACTCGTTACTCACTATCGACAATTAATATTTAGTAATATTATCGATTTAACTGCACTGATGCATTTGAATGAGAACAAAACCTAAATAAATGTGACTTGACTCACAGGGTTATTATAACTACAAAAAAAAAAAAAACATAAAACTTTTTTAATAATAATATAATAATAAACGTAAACTAAACTAAAATAAAAATGTATGTTATTGCAGTTGGTTGCCAAGGCAACATTTCTTATTTTCATTATATTGATGTACTAAAATAACTGAGACTAAAACTGTAAAAAAAAAAATAATAATAATGAAAACTATAGACATATTAAAAATAAAAAAATAATAAGAATGACAAAAACACAACAAAATTACTAAAACTTTAACTAAAATTAAAATGAAAACAGAAAATATAAAAATAAAAGTAATTCAACTATATTATAAAATAAATATTATAAAACTATAATAGTAGGCTATCTATAATACTAAAATAACACAGTTGACTTGTTACCTTATTGCTACTGTATTTTGCTATTATTATGATCTTTTCATTATTTTTCTTATCTTATTTTTTCAATTTTTGCTTACTATTTATTTATACTTAATGCCCAGTCAAAGTAGCTGGCCAGGTTTACTGTGTATGTGACAAATACAAATCTTGACTCTTGATTGCGTGATCATAAGTGTATCTGTTTGACAGCTGGCTGAAAAATAAGAAGGAAATTCATTTGACTATTGGATTATGATGACCATGTGCGTTGATCAATCGTTCACAGTATTATTTGAGACAATTTTGATTTCGTGTTGGCCTTAAAACAATAGTTCTGAGTCCTTCAATAGCAAATCCATCTTTGTCTCTACTGAAACTGTTCAGAAAAGAATAAAAAAAATATACAAACTAGATTTGAACACTTTCTTAAGGAAACTGGAATGTTGCTTGACTGTACATATGGCTGCGGTTGTAATGGTCTCTATAAGACGAAAAAGTACTATTTTGGACCAGGTGGTATGCTAATTGGACAGCTGCATTAAATACAGTACATGTACTTAGGAGCATGTGAAGTCCATGTTATATCACTGTAACAACAATACTATGGTACCATAATTTTAGGTGATTTGAAACTCTGCAGGATGACGCACACACTGAAAACACCACTGCAAAGAAATAAACACAGTACACGTGGTAAAGAAATAAGCAGTTTCTTCACAACAAAGTGTTATATTTTCCAAAGAAATGTCGAAAAGGAACAAAAAGGAAAAAATGAAGCTGCATTTCAAAAGGTTTTGCTCATTTCACAATTGTGGAAGTTGAGAACCGTGTCGAGTGTGTGAAGCGATCAAACCACCATTAACCGCCACAGTCATTTACAATCTATTTACACAAAAAAATCAGGTCCATGATTCTCCCATCTTCCATCCAGCCAACCATCAAACCGTGACGTGAGAGCATCAATTGGAAAGCTTTAATTCGCAGAGACCATGTTTTAGCTGTAAATCTAGCGGAGAGAACGACCGTTAAAGGCAGTGACCGGGCGAAGTCTCGTAAACCTGGAAATGTAAAGAGTCAAAAGTCTGTTGAAGCTCTTAAGAGCATATCGCCGCCAGCAGAGGCTTCGCTTTGTTCACCTCGGCTTCGGGAGCGACAATGGAGCGGGAAAGAAACAGCAGGCTGGGGACTTATTGGGCATTTGTTGACCTATTCACACAATTCGTGAATGGACTACATTTGGATTCTATATTGTAGATCAATTTAAAAGTATTAGATCCCAAACAGACTCTACACAAGTTCAACACAAACTCTTCCAGCAACACGAGCTTCATTTCATCCATTTTTTTACATTCAGAAATGTGTCAGAATGCAATGCGATGGCAATATCGCAAATGGACATTAGCGTATATCATCTTCTTCTACGGTCAACTACAGTTACGGTGAAGTTTGAAGAGAACTGAGCAAAATTAGTGGACATGACTCCATTCAGTTACAATTCAGACCAACTCAGATTGTTTTCTGATATTATTTTTATTAAGTATCTGGTAACTAAACCAACATTTAACGTATTTATACAGTATATAAATATTTTAATGTTTGGCATATAGCACTATATTCCTGCAAAGTTATTTTGCATGTTTTTTTTATCATTTACTTGAAATGAATTCTATAGAGATCAACTACTAATTATTTTTATTAAGTGTCTGATAACTTAACCAATACTTATTATTGTCAAAAAGCAGTATTAATCATTAGACTACAATAAAAGTATTCATAATTCATTTTATTTATAGCATATTTGATATTCATTATTTGTATTATGTGTCTGATAACTGATGCAATATTTACTTAAATATTCAATTATTGTCAAAAGCAGAAATAAAACAATAATCAATCATTCCGCTACCTGAATGGAGTACTAAGTAGTGATCAACTCATATTGTTTTCTGATATTCATTATTTTTATTTACTGTCAGGTGTCAGGCAACTGAAGCAATAATTATTTAAATAATTATTGTCAACAAGCATAAATAAACAAGTAATCATTAGAGTACAATCAAAAAATCAAAACATAAAATTCATTACTAGTATTTTATTTATTATTTTTTAAAATTTATGCATAAGATGTTTTGTGAACTAAGTGGCTGCAAATATATTTTCTTTTTGTTAGGTGGACTGTTCTATTCTTTAGCGATATGCATTTATTAACACCCAAATTGTGTTAAATTGCTTACATCATGTCGGCTAAGCGCTCACATCTGCATCTGAGTACTTGCGTAGAGTCTGTTTCTGACCTTAGATGTAACATGGTGAGTTCTGTTTGACATAAAACTGGGTGGAGCTGATGAACAATTCCGCACAGTGATGATGAGACGAACAACAATAATAATAATAACAACAATTATATTAATAATAATAATAATAATACAAACTATCCACAGCTTTAAAACAAACAAATGAGTCTCATGCTGTTCTGTGAAAAACATAAGTCTGTCCATTGAGTCCAAACAGAAACCACCTCATTCAGCTGCCCTCGTCCTATTGGTCAACGACTGCTTTAAACGTCAATACGGCCTCCAGACGGCTTCCACTGGCATGCTGGTTGGTGAACTGCTGTGGCTTCCCTCTGCCTCCACCACCACCTCGCTCTGATTGGGCAGAGAGGGGTGCAAGAGGGCAGAGCCTGTGGAAGCGTTGGTGCAGGGCGGTAAGATGCGCGGTGGCGAGCGCTCGCCCCCTCCTCCTCCACCCGGCATCATGGAGAACTGGTAAGAGCCGGCGGCACTGCTGTAGTAAAGGTGATATGGGGACGTGCCGGCCTGGAAAGGTCCGGCCTGAGCCTGGGAGGAGCCCGCAGGGTATGCTGGGGGTAAGTATGTGTGGTAGCGGCCCGCCGGGCTGGTCATGGCTGACATGCCAATGCCGATGGCGTTGGTGACAGGGGTGGGCGTGTACGTGAACGCTCCGGTTGGGTACGGAACCCGTGGGTCCGAGAAACGGCCGTCCGGGAGGGAGGGGAGCGATGGGAAGGAACGCTCTAGACCGACACGAGGGTCAGTGAACGCCGTCAGATCTGGACCTAGAGGAACACAAAACATTTGCTTAGTTATATAGTTAAAAATGGGCCAAATGAGTCCAGTACAAGTACAGACATGTGAAATCAATGTGGAGCAGCTCAGATCATTGGATGAGAAATGTTTTAATTTATACTGCGATCATATTGAGTTTTGATTGTAGACTTTTGAGCTTAGTTTGAGACACTGTTGAGATCTGAAACTCTAGAGGAGATGTGTGCGAGATTTCTGTTGTCTTTTGTCTGTGCAGAAACATCTCCAAAAGTCCTCACATGTTATCTGTTTATTGTAGTTGCTAAATCTTGTGTGCAAAACGGGGCTATTGTTAAATAAAAGTATTAAAAACCTTTTTGTTATATGAAAAAATCATAAGTTTTTCCATCATATATACACATTTGAATTTCTAAATATTTTATAGATTAGATGTAGATAGATAGATAGATAGATAGATAGATAGATAGTATTTTTTAAAAAGTAGGCGTGCACCATGGTGAAACTCACAGTGTATAGCGCTGGGCCTGGGGGAGATGGGTGTGGTGGAGTGAACCGCTGGGGTGGAGATGGGGCCCAGGTAAGGGTATGACTGCTCGTACGACCAGGATGGAGACGTTTGCATCTGCCTAGAATCTAAAACCAAATATTCATATTCAATAAATGACTTTATGACTGCTCTACTTCACTAGCAAATCCAAGAAATACCCTAAAAATACAGAAATAGTATTAATGGTTAATGAGAACACAGACATAAACACACACCTGCACAAACACACACACACACACACACACACACACACGGTTTATGCATTACAGTTTTTCTGTCCAGCTCACTAAACTCACATGCTCACATCTCTTACAAAACAGTGGTACAGTGATGGTATCGGATGATAATATAGTAAATGATTGCCATATTAATGCACTATGATATTTACACTGGCGTTCAAAGGTGTGTGGTCAGTAGGATTTTTAATGATTTGGAAAGAAAATCTTCTTCTAACCAAGGCTGCATTTAATCAAATACAGTAAAAATTGTGAAATATTATTACAATTCAAAATAACTGTTTTCTATGTGAATATATTGTAAAACATAATTTATTCCTGTGACCAAAGCTGAATTTTCAGCATCATTACGCCAGTCTTGAGTGTCACACGATCCTTCAGAAATCATTCTAAGATGCCGATTTGCTGCTCAAGAAAAAAATCGGATTATTATCAATGTTGAAAAAAGTTTTTGCTTCAGGATTCTTTGATGAATAGAAAGTTAAAAAGAACAGCATTTATTGGAAATAGTAATCCCTTGTTACATTATAAATGTATTTACTGTCACAATTTAATGCATCCTTCCTAAAAGTATAAATGTTTTTCAAAATCTTTTCAATGGTAGTGTATGTAAAATCAGTAGAATTTTAAAAAAGGACCTTTATTCAAGACAAACACGAGGACACTGAATAATGGAGTGAGAAGAGCAGGAGGAGGAGAAGACATTCTCTGAGTATGAGTCTCTCTTTCTCTTTCTCTCTCTCTCTCTCTCAGATTTTTTACTTTTCCTATTTTTTTATACCTGTACAATTTGTCTTGATTATATATATATATATATATATATATATATAAACTGATTAATGTTTTCTGGTGATTAAAGAGATGTTTAAAAGTAAAAATAAAAAACTCTCTCTCTCTCTCTCTCTCTCTCTCGTTCTCTCTCCCCATGGTCTAATAAACGCTCGCCGATTGCCTGCAGACTTCCAGACTGAAGGGGAGGGAGAGCCATCAGAGAGGAAGCAAATTATGCACAGCGGCCAAAAAGTGTGCGGCCCGTTTCAAGTGCAGCCAGAGCGTGGCCCGCTGCCAGGCCCTCCAGAAACCCCCTTTTTTCCTGCCTCCCTCCCCAGACTCAGGGCTTGTGATCTGGAGCAGGAGTCACACATGGCTGGGTGGGTGGCTGGAGGTGGATTCGGGCATCCGGTGCGAGCGGGACTCATTTTTTACTGGGCTTTAACACACACCCACACACGGCTACCAATTAAAATAAAAGGGACCTACAAATGAAAATACTCCCTCATTTTGTTCCAAACCTGTTTGGATCTAAATAGGACTAAATGCTCCATAAAAGGATCCGAGACTCAGGGTTTGTGATCTGGAGCAGGAGTCACACATGGCTGGGTGGGTGGCTGGAGGTGGATTCGGGCATCCGGTGCGAGCGGGACTCATTTTTTACTGGGCTTTAACACACACCCACACACGGCTACCAAAAATGGAGATGGGAGAAATACACACCGAATATAAGCTACTTACAAATCAGTGCTTTTGTTGTTAACTAATACTAAGACTTATTATAAATTAAAAATAAACTAATTGAAATGAAGCTTAAAATAAAACTTAAATAATGCTAAAATAAAATATTAGATAAAAATTAGATACAATTTCAAAATAGAAATGTCTTGGCAACTGAAATAAAATAAGTTGAAGTTGAAGTACTAAAATTATAACAGTAGTTCACATAACTCTATATATACACTATTTTCCAGTCATACAATACATCTGTGCAAAAAAACAGATGGATATTTAAATTCCCTACCCCCATTATCATATATTTAAATATGTTACTCTGAAGATGCATTATGAAGATTTGATTATTTGATTAATGGATTATTGCCAATTGGAGCAGCTCTACTAATCTATTTCTGTCATCCATGGTAAAATGAGGTGCATACGGGTTTGGTGAGTAAATAATGACAGAATAATCATTTCTAGGTGAGAAGAGCTGACTTGGGAAAGTGTTTCTGTAATGACTCTTAGTATGGAAACATTGAAGCATTAAATTTGCTAAAATAAAAACTACAACTAAAACTATACAAACACACATATAAATGTGACCCTGGAGCACAAAACCAGTCTCAAGTCGCTGGGGTATATTTGTAGCAATAGCCAAAAAATATATATATATATATATATATATATATATAAACTGATTAATGTTTTCTGGTGATTAAAGAGATGTTTAAAAGTAAAAATAAAAAACTCTCTCTCTCTCTCTCTCTCTCTCTCGTTCTCTCTCCCCATGGTCTAATAAACGCTCGCCGATTGCCTGCAGACTTCCAGACTGAAGGGGAGGGAGAGCCATCAGAGAGGAAGCAAATTATGCACAGCGGCCAAAAAGTGTGCGGCCCGTTTCAAGTGCAGCCAGAGCGTGGCCCGCTGCCAGGCCCTCCAGAAACCCCCTTTTTTCCTGCCTCCCTCCCCAGACTCAGGGCTTGTGATCTGGAGCAGGAGTCACACATGGCTGGGTGGGTGGCTGGAGGTGGATTCGGGCATCCGGTGCGAGCGGGACTCATTTTTTACTGGGCTTTAACACACACCCACACACGGCTACCAAAAATGGAGATGGGAGAAATACACACCGAATATAAGCTACTTACAAATCAGTGCTTTTGTTGTTAACTAATACTAAGACTTATTATAAATTAAAAATAAACTAATTGAAATGAAGCTTAAAATAAAACTTAAATAATGCTAAAATAAAATATTAGATAAAAATTAGATACAATTTCAAAATAGAAATGTCTTGGCAACTGAAATAAAATAAGTTGAAGTTGAAGTACTAAAATTACTAAAAGTATAACTGAAATAAATATAAAGTTAAATAGAAATATATAAAAGCATAATAAATATAAAAATGGATCAAAATAAAACATAAAATTGCTAAAATTAAAATTAAAACTGAAAATATACAAATAAAATTATATCATAATATCAATAAAGCTGAAATAAAATAAAATAAAAATATTAGACTTCAGCTTAAAAAAAATTAAATACTGCCTTGGCAACAAACTCAAATAAAATAAGTTGAAGTTGAAGTACTACAATTACTAAAACTAAATTAAAGTAGAAATATTTGTAAAAATATATAAAACATTTACATGTACAAATGACAAAAGTACATAAAATTACTAGAACAAACTAAAATTAAAATGAAAACTGAAAATATAAAAATAAAATC